AAACAAATAAGACTTTTATGAGTAGATTACATGTAAGAGAGAATTATTGTATAAAATGTAACTTTTGCTATATATATACTCGCGTATTCTATCATATAATAGTATTGCAAAATTAGAATTAATAAAATCAATTACAGATTAGCAGAAATCTTTTTAGAGAATTTTTAAAACTAATTGACCGTCTATCTTTGGAAGTATAATTTGTTATATCATAATTAATTTGTGTTTATTTAATTACAATTGTATTTCTTTTTTATGTTTTATCTCTTTGCATAGTTAATATATACATATAAAATTTTAAAATGTTTTATTATAATTTATACAAAAGGTTTTTGTGTCATATTTTATAACTTTATTGTCTTAAATTCTGAAAAGACAGTTATAGGAAGAAATAAAAAATTCTAATAGATTGTGCTGATATTGCAGTATTAATTGTATAAGTGAAAATTTTTTATTTCTAATCAATTTATTGCAGAATATTAATGAGTAATACAATTTAACATTGAAAGTACTTATATTAAAACTTCTAATGCACTGTAAAGAATAGAATAATAATCCATTGTAATTAATGTTATCAATTATCATGAAAGACTGTTATCATATACGAGCTATGGAGACTCTCGCATTTCGAGTTCGTAATACGATATCGTTTGTTATTTCAACGTCATTTACGTTGCTGACAGTTGTTGCAAATCGAAATCGTCGCAACAGATTTACGATTATCGTCGCCGCGGATAAAAATGCATATTTTTTACCTAAAAGTGGAAAATGTAAAGAAGAATGTAAATTGGAAAAATAAAGCATTAATCACACAATCGATAACTAATACAACGTCTTAATATTTAACGAAATATATTGAATGTGGATATTCTATGGTAAACTTTTACGACTTGTTTTATTTAAAATAATGCAAAAATCTTGGAATGTATTACGAGTTTCTTGAAAGAAAGCAAAGCTCATGAACTTTAACGGAAATTGAGTATATAAAGCGACACAATAGAAAGATAATTTAACCAAAATTTTTCCAAACAACTACATGGTTTTTAAAATAAATAACTTATATTATGGAATATTTACCTAAACAATCTCTGAGGCCCGTACCAAACGGAATAAACGTATAACGAATACGGCTGGACGAATTTTCAGGCGAAAATCGTTCAGGAATGAATTCCAATGGCTTATACCAATACGCAGGGTTACGATGAATAGCAAGTATTGGAATCATAACGTAACATCCATCCGGCAAAGTACATGATTCTGAAATAAATAAAGCTCCTTTTCATAACTTTAAAAAAATATTACATTAATCTAATAATTTATATTAATTTTATTCATAGACTTAGTAGATAATGGGATATATAAGAATACCAAGCTTTATATCTCCTATAAGTTGGCGCGAAATAATAGGTACTATAGGAAACAATCTTAATGTCTCTTGGTACACCATATGAAAATACCGCATGCTAAGGAGATGTTGCGCATCAACCTTTTTATTATTAAATGTGACAGATATTTCCTCTCGCAGTTTTTCCTAGAAAATCAAATGCAAAGACAATAACAAATAAACATCTAAAAAATAGTAGAAAAATAGTAAATAGTTAGAAATTAACTTAGTGTTATTCCAAATTAATTTAAACAATAAACTGAACAAATGATTGCTGGAAAATAATTGTACTCCTACAATACATAATACGAATAAAACATTTTTCATCTTATGTTGTTTTGTTTTTACTGCATAAAGCGTAGATATACAATATGAAAGTATTTCCATACATATAGTGTTCATATTATACTGTAATATTTGTAATAATTTTACTAACTTGCACTTCTGTATGCATTGCCAGCATAAGTATAATGAAAGTTGTCGCTTCCGTAATATTATTTTGAATCTGCAAGACATAAATTAATTTTAATATAAATATATACTCGTGTAATATTAAGCTTTTATATAATAAATGAAATTACAACAGCAAAAAAATTTCTAGCATCGTCTAAGAAATTCTCGTCGCTCACTTCGCAGGATTTGCTCGTAACATTATTACGTAGTTCTTCCACACAATTCCAGTAGTTGTTGAAAGTAGGTTTTGGCCTTTGAGAAATCTTATTATTATCTTGTAGAGCAGTGTGACTTATTGCCTTTCGTGTTATCTACATTAAAAAGTATGTTGCTTTTTAAAGTGGACATAAATAACAGTACTGTCACTAAAATTCCTATTTGGAATATAATCTTATTATAAAAATACTATTAAACGGTATAGAAATATTAATAATACGATGTCTCATACTAAAGTTCGCGAATTAGCGACATAGTTGAATTGCGACTTTATTTAAAATAAGTCCTCTTGGAATACCATGTAAATGTCAGCGCGTTTCTTTTACCCTTATATTTTACCTTAGCAGTAATATTTTTCGAATTTGCTTCAAAATATGTTTCTTTTATGTTTATTATCGTGCAAAAAAATTTTTGTATTTTTTTGGAAATATAAAAATATCACAGAAAGAAGATCTAGTAGATCAAAAGAATTTTCGATCATAGTAATTTATTTGTTTAGTCAAAAGTTTCCCAATCCTTGTGTGCACAGTACACACTGTCGTAATGTAAGAACTATTTGATGAGCTGTAACACAAACTGAGTTTGAAATGATATGGAAAATAGAAGAGACATTAAAATTCATGTACAAAGTTCATCAAAGAGGTCACTTTGCAAAATAATCACACTCTAGCTTAGCAAGTAAATATGTACTAGTGCTTATGTTCGCGAACTTTACGTGAACATGGGTGCTAATTGTAAGTATATAGACGCATGAGAACGCATCTCTCTCAATGTAATGCTTATCGCATTAATGAGATCTAAATATCTCAGAAGCATATAGGGTAACTCCGGTATATACGCCGTAGCTAAAGAAAACTTAATTTATCGAGTACTATTTACTATGTGTAAGGCAAATGAATTATACCAATAAAAACTTTATACTGTCTACTATTATAAAAGAAATAGAAATATAAAATATTCATTCTTTGTATTTAATAAAAAAAACTTTTAGAAACTCTTGCATTTTTGCCATATATTCCAGAGGGGTGGGTTATATGACATTCATGGGTGAAATATACGCCTTATAAAAAATTACAAATAATGTTCATAAATAAGGCAATAAAATGTCATAATAAGTTATAAAATGTGTGTAAGAAGTTTATTAAGATGTAAGAATGATAAACAAATTATAAAACTAAAAAATTTAAAAAAAAAATAGAAGAGTGATAGATGCATTAAAGATTATTGTTATACGATCCAAAAAAAGAAGGGAAAAGAATACATAAGAGATTTCGAGTTTTACAAACTGTCTGTTATACTATGGCATAAATCCCGCATGCTAACTTGCCGTATATCCTAAACAGGAGGGATATACAAGATATTAAGTTAAACAAAAAATACAAGAGCTATGCACATGTATTTTACTGTATTCCATTATTTACTATCCCTCTACACTTATGTATCATGAAATAACCATTAAACCTTTTACATTCCCTACAGTAATTATTTTACGTAGGTTGTAACACAAGATCGCGCTTCTTACTACGGTGAGAAATCGATTCAACTCACGACAGTTTCGTTAATATTAACAGTAAAAAACTGAAATTACAACACAATACTAATATGGCATAAAGGCACATAACAGAATAATTGCGAGCAAGTACCTTCATTCCTTCTATTTTTTCTGATATCTGCGGCGTAAAACCCCGCGCGGCGTAAATACTGGAGTTACCCTATGTTTTGGTCGTGCAATATGTGACAATCATATTTTCTCGTATGTCATAAACTTAATGACTTATATCAAATAGTTATATAAAAGACATTTGTGCGAAATTTACATTGTAGGTGAAATCTAGTATATTCTCTCGAGCGATACGCAATTGTTTTCGGTTTTCAGTCAAAGGCAAAATCCATTCCAACTGTAGCCACCACGGTTTTATTGTTTTGCTATATAATGCATCTTTGACCAATCTGCAATAATTATTAAAATTATTAATTAACATATGAATGATAAAGATGCTACTATAAATACATACTTTTCCTGCCAATACACTATCTCGTCGTCTTCACGCTTATGTTCTGATCTTTGAATACCCATCATTGTCACTGTAAATTAACATTTGTCAACTTTTGATCGTGCGTAGCATAATTAATAATAATAGTAATTTGTATCTCAAAGTAGCTTGTTAAAAATCAAATTATAGATAAAATGTTCTTTTTCAAGTACGTGGGAGTACCATAGTTCTCACCTAAAAATGTATCAAACACGTATTGTACCATGTATGGTTTAAGCTCAAACATTGGGCCATCAACATTTTTTTCTATAGTGCTTGCACAAAGATTGCTATAAGTATCGAAAAATGTTACATATTCG